GATCGTAATCAGGGAGTCGGACTCTCCCTTTCTAGCGAATTCTGAAATTTTGACCTAACCTCGAAAATTTGGGCAGTCACTCACTTATCCACCAATCCATTACAAAAGGCTGGCACTTGGGTAGAATAAACCTTTAAACACTTTCATAATAGACAAAAATTGTGTCTGGCTTGCCCGTCTGCATCATCCAAAGATCTGCAAGCATTATTTCCTAATACAACACCTTCTCTCCCTTCCCCCGTCGTCCATGATTGGTCAACCCAAAAAAGTGGAGTTTGAGGAGTGGTAATCCCATCACTGCTCCGCTTTTTCTCAATTAGTTCATGACCTCAGATTTGGCAAAAACTCGTTTTTAGGGGTAGTTTGATCCCCTGAATACGAATATCGTACCTACTTGCCACGGAAAAGCATAGCACCTGCACTACGGGCACCATGGGCACTCACAGACAAGTAGTGCTTAAACTTAAGAGGATCTGCTTGCAAACTCTTCGTAGATGTAGCGTCGGGCGACCGTTGATAAAATAACGGATTCAAAAAGGCTTTTTAGCCATGTTGAGAAAACGGCAACGCAGTACCATTTGGAGCCAGTAGTATTGAAGGCGGAGCTTACGATGCAAAGACAAGCTATAAAAATCAAGGTAGAGATGGTTAGCGGCGTAGGTACGTAAGAAGGAACTGTGAAAGGGTCCAGAAACTGAGAATTGAGGCACTTCCCTGCCCGTTGATCTTCGCATTGATGCAACTCTCATTGGTCTGATCTCTTCAACGCTCACGTTCGCTCTGCTGAACGGCTAGGGACAGACGGCGGGCGAGAGGGTACGCGTACCGCGGAAGAGGAAAGTTTGTGCCCTAAGGCTGAGCAAGCGCGAAAACTCGCGTTTCCACGGAAAAGATCCAGACTGGATTTTTAGGATTTTTTTTCGAAACCCAACATCCACGAAAGTTTAAGTGCTTGAAGAGAAAACAATTTGAATTTCCAGAGTCTTCCGACCATGTTTCCTAAGGTCGCATATGAAGCAACATATAAACTCTGCATTTTGGTGCGAAAAGAGTCAAGTGCAAATTTTTCGGAATTCTAATTCTAATTTTTCTAATTAATCATTTTATAGCAGAAGAAGTGAAAAAATTCCGAAGAGAGAATAGAATGTGCTCAAAAGTGGAATTCAAGTAGATTTCAAATCCGCTTGAAGCTTCGTAAAACATCACTTTTCTAGGCAGTCATGCCCGTTTTAACGGCGTTACTCCACAACATCCTTTTCGCCGCGACGCACGAATGGTGCTGTATGAAGGGTCCATAGGGAAGAAACGAAATCTACTGAACACTCAGTTAGCTACTAGGAGGTTCTTAGCGGGGCCCCTAAGAAGGAAGGGGACAGGGGGTCATAAGTTTTTGAAGTTGACCAAAGGCTACGGTTGACTCTGTTCCCCCATCCCAGGCGATACAAAAATGGTTTACGGGTAGATTCAGATGGAAATGTTGAGTATCACAACAGTGTTTCTAGTTGCTATTTTTCATAGATCGCTCTTATTTCAGCCTGTGTTGAAACAAACGATTCTTCAAATAAAGAAGCGCCAGTGGAGTCGACGAATGCCAGTCTGAATGAGGACGCTCCATCGGAAGCAGTTGCTGAACTCAGTGATTCTGCCGAAGCGGTTTGTAAATTGTTTACAAGGAAGTCGGATCTCATCCAGTAAGGGGAGGGGGGTTTATGTAGTGCCACAGTTCATGCGCGCTGAAGTAGCATCGATGTGAATTTCAGAGCTGAAATTTAAACATGCGATGGAACCACGTCGAAGACACCATTCTAGTGAGCCAAACAAGGCTGGATGAAGAAGCCGGAGAGGGAGTGCTACGCAGCGAGGCGGTCCTTTAGGCTCATGGACGCGAGTTAAGAAAGTTGACAGGTACAGCATAATCACAGTTCTTACGATCCCTAAAACTGTTAGCGGTCTCATTTTCTATAAATCCTCGTTATCCGGTTTGTGTTTAGTGGGCCCGTGTTTTCTCCTCTTACTGCAAGATATCGCGCAGAAGAGGAGCGAGAACGAAAAGCGGCAGAAGTACGAGAAAAACAGGCAGAGAAATTGGACCCATTGGTGTTTACAGAGAAGACCAGTGCTGTGTTAACGAAGAAGGTAAATTAATCACTGTATTCTGTTTGACAAAGAAGTCGGGTCTCATCCAGTAAGGGGGGGGGCATGTGGTGCGACAGTTCATATCGCCGGAAGTAATCCAGTTTTTTTTTGCAATGGAACGAAGCTCCGGTGGCTAAAAGCGAAAGGACAGTGGTTCATGCGCCCCGGGATTTTCTCCTTCTTCAAAATAGGAATTTCTTCTAGCGACAGCAACTGTCGCACGACACGCCCCCTCCCTTAAAAGGAAGGTCTTTCAGGGCGTGCCAAGCTTTTTCAGAACGGTATTTTGCATTGTATAGGGGCACATGTAGGAACCACAGAACCATGGTTAAAAAATTAACCATGATAAATTTGAATTTAACCATGGTTCTGTGGTTCCCTACATGTGCCCCTATACAATGCAAAAGACCGTTCCTGAAAAAGCTTGGCACGCCCTGAAAGACCTTCCTGGTTAGTGGATGAGACCCAGGAAATCGATAGGAATTATGATGTAATTATCTTCAGGTAAAAGGACCCATTGAGTTCAAGAAAAGGTCGGCTGCGAAGAGTGTGCGCCAACGAATCCAGTAGTTCATGACATATACATATATTTAGGTTTATGCATTTTGATTTTTTTTCACTAGTTGAGTTGTTTAGAAATTGTAAGTGCTCTATGTATCTTTCTTTTACACATCACACGTGGCAAGTTAAAGCTTAGATGAGCTAAAGAAATGTTTTTGGTCAAGTAATGAAAGATATTTTCCGACCTCTATGGGGGCCCAGTTATGGTCTTGGAATTATGAAAACCGCCAAGTTTGTAAGTAATCTTCTTCGATGTTTTCCCTTCTTTTCCATCTCTATCGTCCGTCAAGATATGTGATTTGCTAGTGCTTCGCATTTCCACTTTCATTGAGTGAAGTTTTTTACGCGAAAATCTTGGGACTTATTTGATTGGACCTGTGCTTCAATCCCGTCTTTAGCTTATCTCGTGTGTACGGTACACCGTTACCGATTTGACAATTCCACGTCCGTGTAGATGACACCTCGTTATTTGACTGAATTGTTGTCGATGCTCCGTAAGATGTGACTCCAATAAGTTAGTCGAATGTGGTCTTGTTATTTATGTCACTGTGTGGAAGCGTACTTAAATTCGTATATGCTATGTCTGCTTATCCGTAATGAATTTGAACGGGTTGTTTTTGTCTTGTGATTCATCGGGGATGAAGCTCCATATGTGCCTTTGCGCGTGAATTGATGAACCGATACCAGTTAGAATAATTTCTGGGAGGTATCTCAGTTCAGAACTTCAGAAATGGATGAGGACGATGATCTCTTCGGCTCAGATCTCGACGATGATGATAAAAGAGAAAAGGGAAGTCCAGAGGACAAGAAATTCTTTTTCCGAAAGGAACTTCGTTCTATGCTCTATGGTTTCGGAGATGACAAGGTATTTTGCTGTGATCGTTGTTTCGTTGTCTACTTTATAATTTGTGGATCTTTTCAAGTTTTGCAAAAGCATTGTTCAGGTACCATATGATAAAACGCTCGAAACACTGGAAGGAATAGTTCTAGACTACATCAAGGAGTTGTGCGAGCGAGCTATGAATGTTAGTCATTTTGCCTGAATTACTTGATCTCATGCTTGCCAAGTGTGAGACCGTTTTCCCAAGCGGCTTTAGTGTACTCAACTAGAGCGAGCACTTTTGTGATTCGTGTGATTTTGCAGCACGTTCTAAAGTTTCTTCCAAAGATGATTCCCAACAAATGGCAGTTCATTTGTAGTAAAATGATCCCCTGCTCCGATTGTGGAGTGGTGGAGATGATAGG